TTAGCATTTCTTACATCGCTGGCTTAGTGGTAATAAACTCCCTTAGCCTATTTTTTGTCTGTGAAGCTCCTGTTTCCCCTTCAATTTTGAATGATAGCCTTGCTGGATAGAGTATTCTTGCACTGTCTTTGGGCGCTGGCGGTGGGCTGCCTGCTGCTACGGTGATGCCTCCCGGGGAAGCGTCCACGAGGGGACGTCTCCGCGCCTGCCCCGCTCACCTGAACACGTCGTTCCAGTACTCCTTCACGTAGGACACCTGGTGGAAAGGGATGTCTAGGATCTGGCACACCCTGTAGGCGTCTTCGCAGTCTTTATCGGCGGTGCAGACGCCATGCTCGTCCAGGGAGTCCCAGTTCTTCATGAACACCCCCGTCACCTGGTAACCTGGGGGGGCAGGAGGCAGTGGGGAGAACGTGCGGCAGGAGCCTCGGCAAAGGGCAGGGTTTCTGAGCCCCGTGCCGGGCGCGGCTGTGCCTGGCAGTCCCTGCTTTGCCTTCAGAGCTGATGCACACCCCAGTGCGAGCCATCCCCCCCCCACCCCCAGCTGCTCACTCCCCTCCCTGCCCTGCCCCTCCCCCGGCAGTACTTCCGGGGCCTCCATGGCACGGCGACTGCTGCGCTGAAACTGAGCAGAATGGAACCGTTTCCCCGTCCTGACCACCTGGTCGCGGTGCCCGGCACGTGGCGTGAGCAAACGTGTGCTGAGTGTGTGAAGAGCAGGGATTCAACAGAATTTTCAAAACAAATAAAAACCACCTTCAGTTGTCAGGAGAGGGAACTCATTTCTAAACTTATTCCCAGGCACCATCTGAGCTGTAGATTCTCCGTCCTCAGATATCGAGACGGCGGAAATTTTGGCTATTCTAGGACCCGTATTTTTGCCCTTTTCTGTTGTGACAAACCACCCAACCTTAGCCTTACGCCGTCTTCTCGAGCTCATGGGCGCCACCTGCGTGAGAAGCCTGTTTCTCTGGAGGCGGCTCAATGCCACGGGGCGGGCATGAGTGTAAAGGCTCCATGCAGGGCTCCAGGGACAGACCCCACGGCAACGCTTGACCTGAACTAAAGGCCACGTTCACCAGACAACCCGCCCGGCAGGTGGCCAGGCCCCCCCCTCCGCTTCCCATGCACCAACTCCACAGTGGGGCCCGGGGAACTTCCTGCCTGTGCCCCACCAAGGGCAGAGGCTGTCCCCCCAGCGCAGAGCAGGCGCTTAAGGTGCTGGCAGGACGAGGGACTCCCCACACGGAG